ATAATTTATCATGAACCATTTTATAAAGCAAGGAGAATAGCTGGTTCCTTTGTAACTTGCCCTACATTTATTAGGGATTAAGTTTTGGTGTCATTAAGCAACTTGGACACACAAGCACAAGTCCATGCACTGAAAAGTGTAAGCAATTAAATAAAATACTACCAAGGAGAGTGTTTTCCTACCACCAGAGAGGGCATTTACTCTCAGACTTTGGAAGTTATCATGTGGCTAACATCAGGGGAGGCAGAGCATTTTACACTTCAGGCACAAAATCGGAAGTGTCGAACTGTTTCCATCTATCCTCACATACTGAGCTCCGTGTGTTTTTGTTAAAGAAAACTTTAAACAACCTGTCAGCACACACACATTGGATTAGAGACTCTTATCATGTGGAGAGTCTCTGGCCAGTACAGAAAGACATTATTGGAAACTTAGAGTCAAGAGAATAATTATATCTTTACATTCATTGACTCAAGAAATCAAGTATAGTTCTCTTTCATGGTGTTTTATACTGCAAACCTGTTGTTTTTAATTTTCTGAGCGCTGACAACCCACTGTGCTTAAACAGCAGCTCTTAATCAGAACACAATAATTAGATAGTTAGAGCCTGCCTGATATTTAGATATTCAGAGGGGCTGCATTGTGCAGAAATGAGTTCATAAAGTTTGTTTTTCCCCTCTGATTTACCAGATGATGACTCTTTAAGTATTATCATACTAGTATGCTTATCCTATCTAATAAAAGAGAAACATGGTAATTGGCATATGACTGCTACCCTTCCCATTGGCTAATCAGCGAGATATGCAAATTAACTGCCAGCCAAGATGGCGGCCGGCAGCCAGGCAGCTTGAAACTGAACATGAGGCGTGCTTGCTTCAGTGACAGAGGACTCCAACGTTCCCGCCTGTCTTGCCGGCCTTGGAGCTTGCAGTTTAAGAAACATTGTAACAAATATAGAAGCTAAACAAAACCCCAGAAACCTGCTTTCAGCGAGCTCGGGATCTCAGAGCTGGAGTTATACATTGTTTCGATTACAGAACCGAAACAAACCAGATACCTGCTTTCAGGAGCGGAGGCCTAAGAGCTGGAGCCTCAGAGCTAAAGCTGGCCCAGAATGAAAAAAAAAAAAAAGAAAAAAAGGAGCGGTTGGGAGCTTCAGTCACCCGCCAGCCTGAAAACAGCCCTCAGCCCCTCACCCAGACTGGCCAGGCACCACATTGCAGTGGGGACCCCCACCCTGAAGGGTGTGTGACCAGCTGCAAACAGCCATCATCCCCTTACACAGGCTGGCCAGGCACCCCAGTGGGGACCCCCACCCTGATCCAGGAGACCCTTCAGGGCAAACCAGCCAGCCCCACCCATGCACCAGGCCTCTATCCTATATAGTAAAAGGGTAATATGCCTCCCAGCACTGGGATCAGTGTGACAGGGGGCAGCGCCCAAACCCCCTGATTGCCCTGCGGCTCTGTGTGTGACAGGGGGCAGGGCCACAACCTCCCTATCCGCCCTGCTCTGTTCGTGACAGGGGAAGGCGCCCCAACCCCCTGATCAGCCCTGCTCTGTGCCGGATGGGGGGAGCTCCCCAACCCCCTGATCGCCCTGTGGCTCTGTGTGTGACAGGGTGGGCGCCCCAACCCCCTGATTGGCCCTGCTCTGTGTGTGACAGGGTAGAACCATAACCTCCCCATCGGCCCTGCCCTGAGTGTGAGAGTGGTGGTGCCCCAACCCCCTGATTGGCCCTGCTCTGTGGGTGATAGAGGGTGGCGCCCCAACATCCCCCCCCCCACAGGCCCTGCTCTGTGTGTGATGGGGTAGAGCCATAACCACCCCATCGGCCCTGCCCTGAGTGTGACAGTGGCGGCGCCCCAACCCCCTGATCGGCCCCGCTCTGTGGGTGACAGGGGCCGGTGCCCCAACTCCCCTATTGGCCCTACTCTGTGAGTGACAGGGGGGAGCTCCTAAACCCCCTGATGGGCCCTGCTCTGTGTGTGACAGGGGGAGCTTCCCAACCCCCTGATGGGCCCTGTTCTGTGTGTGACAGGGTAAGGAGCCCCAACCACCCTGATCAGCCCTGCTCTGTGCGTGATGGGGTGGCGCCGCAACCTCCCTATCGACCTTGCCTTGAGTGTGACAGGGGACGGTGCCCCAACCCCCCAATCGGCCCTACCCTGAGCGTGACTGAGGATGGCATCGCAACCTCCCAATCCGCCCTGCTCTGTGCATGACAGGGGGCGGCGCCCCAACTCCCCAATCAGCCCTGCTCTGAGCCCGACCAGGGGCTGCACCTAGGGATTGGGCCTGCCCTCTGCCACCCGGGAGCAGGCCTAAGCCAGCAGGTCATTATCCCCCGAGGGGTCCCAGACTGTGAGAGGGCACAGGCCGGGCTGAGGGACCCCCATTTCCCCCCAGTGCACAAATTTTTGTGCACCAGGCCTCTAGTATGTTATAATTTGCTTGTTTCGATCATTAATGCATAGCAATATAAGTATAGGACACACACACACACACACACGCACACACGCACACACACACACACACCTACTATGTCATAGTAGCAATGTAAGGAAAGAATAAAAAACCAATAAGGGACTGATACAAAATCTTTTAAATACAGCATACTTAACAAGGAGGGAAGACCTGCTTAATTGGTTGTCCTTTTAATTTCAAGGTAACTTCACTCTTTCACACACTGAAACACTGAATTTACTCTACTCTAATTACATGTCAAGTTCCTCTACATCACAGGACAGATATGAAGTTTTTAGTGAGAGAATCCCTTAGTAAAGGCCAATCCTTTCAAACAGGCTTTGAAAGTGTTTAGAATATAATCCATTAGCATTACATATCCCTGCAATTCTGAGATTCTGTCCTCCACTAGATAATATCTCTCTTTTTAACAAGCTTCTGCTAAAATAACCTAAAATCACCCTGTTGCTCCATTTATTCTTCCTCAAAATACTACAGTTTGTTTTCTGTTATGATTGGTCTCCTGAAACTGCTAGTTGACCTACTTTAGCTTTGGCTTTGAACATATGATCCCTTGGGAAACTTTTCCATCTATGGTTTTTGTAACAGTACTTTTTTCCTTGTCCTACTGCCAATCTTTCTACTTCTTAATCATTTATGTGGACACTTCTTTAAATCATTTCTTGATTTCTGATCCCCAATCTTTAGCTCTCACTTCTCTCTTTCTACAAAATCAATCCAGTCAATTGTGGTTTCCACTATCACATGTATAAACACTCTCACAGCCAAATCTTGGTCAAGATTTCTTGTGAATTCAAATAACTTACTCTCTATCACAATGTCCCATTGATAGGAATGATATGCAACAGGAATGGACTGATAAAATGATTAGTGGTAATGGCAAGCCAGTTAAATATCTGAAAATCATCCCTGCCCAAAAATGCAAAAATGAACCTGCTGTCTTTCCCTGTAAATAATCTTGTGATCCACATCTTAATTAGATAGCATAACATTTATATTTATATAAGCAAAATTGGTCATTAAAATTCCACATTTTTCTATTTTTTTAACCTACAATTATTTACAAGTTTAATAGCTTTCATAGTCATCTTCTCACTCTTAAGGCCACATGATTTTTATTTAAGTATTCCTATTACCTAATGTTACCAATTCATTTCTTTTTTATTCATTCATTTTTATTTTTATCAATAAAAATATATTTTTATTGATTGCAAGGAGGAAGGGAGAGGGAGAGAGAGAGATAGAAATGTCAATGTTGAGAAAGAATCATTGAGTGGCTACCTCCTGCTCGCCCCCTACTGGGGATTGAGCCTGCAACCCAGACATGTGTCCTTGACCAGAATCTAATCTGGGACCCTTCAGTCCGCAGGCTGACGCTCTATCCACTGAGCCAAAACAGGTAGGGCACATTACCAAATCTTGACGGGTAGTCTAAACCCCTCCAATCCTATACACTTCAGCTGCTATTACTGTGAAAACTACATAAATATATACTACTTTTGAAAACTTCTTAAGTGGCACCTCCAGGCACCAGCATACACATATATACTATTTTGTATTTTATGTGGGATCCATTATTCTCAGGCTCTTGCTCACTTTCCCAACATCAAGTCTTTCTCCTGCTCAATTCACATTAAACTCCATGGCTCCACAATAATAAAATATTTCTACTCCCACTCCCCTCTCCTAAGTCTTTCCATTACCTATACCTCTGTGTGTGGTTGTTTTATCTGCCTGGAATAACAGTCTACATTATTTACCAGGTAGATGCTTGATCATCACTAACTACAAACTCCCTTACTGCTCCAAGGAATTCAGAAGCCTTCATTTTCTATTTTTCTACATTGCCTCTGTATATTGCTCATATTTCTATCAGGGTAAGTAGCTAACTGTATGAGAGATATTTGTGTATCTCCTGGAGTGTTGAGACCTTGCATTTAATGTATGCTCACAAAAGTTAAATTCTACATGAAAATCCCTTTTTTGGGGGGAAATACATAGTTATTGGTATGTAAAGCAAAATGGAAAATATAGAATATATTAAGCTATTAGTATATAATTAACAAGCAACCTTAAATTTTTAAAGTAGCTCTCTGTAATAACATAAAATGAAGCAAAATAATAACATTTAAGTCAGCATGCATGCCCTTATCCTGAAATATCGGTTAATAATGAAGACAACAGACTAATTATCTAAATGGAAATTAGAAAGTGGGCTGGCATATGCACAAAACTCTGTAGACAAAATTCTCACATTTTAGTAACCTTATATGAAGCAGAGACTGGGAATGGTTTTCTAGTTCCATTTCTTAAGTCATATTTTTGGTATGTTGGTATGTTCTAAAAATGAGAACAGTAAACTTTTAGTATACGTTGGTAGGATAAAGTAATGTTTGTTGAATGTCTCAAAATTTCTTTTTGAAACCATGTAGATGGCCCAATAAACCAGAAAACCTTATGAAGTTTTCCTCTCTCTTCATAAAATGAAACAATACAAAAATCAATAGAAATACCTTGTTTGCTCCATGAAGATCTGGAAATCCACCAATAAAGACAGACCATGATTCTGGTGGGGGTTTTCCAGACACGTGCTTGACAGGTTCCCTTGCTTTTACAGTCCTCCCTAGAACAGTCAGCTCAGCTTTACATGGGTCCCATTCTTGCCTGCAACCATTTAGAAAAGTAATTTATGGTTTTAGTAGATGTTGTATAAACATTTATCTGACCAATTAATTAAGCTATTAACAAAAGAAGAAAGATTTAAGTAAATAGATTATCTCACCATAAAACCAACAAAGCCAGAAGTAGATTAATCTGCTCTAAATTAGAAACCCTTAATGCTTTAAGTTTATATAAATACAAAGTTAAATTTAGACAAAACAACAAATTGTAGCAATCACCTAATAAAATAAATAAATCCTGATAATAAAGAGATCTTTCAGCTGTGATTAAAATGATGTTAGAATAAGATATTCTAATTTAGTTTTTTACATTGTTAAATTTTCTGTGAGTTAAAAATATTGAAAAGTATTGGTTTATATATGGTTACAGTACTGTCCCCTATCTGCAATTTTACTTTCCATGGTTTCAGTTAGTCATATCATCAAACTCTGTTCAAAAATATTAAATGGAAAGTACCAGAAATAAATAACTTGTAAGTTTAAAATTGTGCATCAGTCTGAGTAGTATGATCTCACATTGTTTTCCTCCTTCTGGCCCGGGACATAAATCATCCCTTTGTCCTGTGTAACCAAGCTATATATGCTATTTGCCCATCAGTCAGTTAGTTTCCATTGACTGTGCCAGTATCTCAGTACTTGTGTTCAAGTAATCCATATAGTATCCTAACAGTAAGTCACAATGCCTAAATATGTCATTCACCTCACTTTATCTCATTACATAGGCATTGTATCATCTCACATCATCACAAGAAGGGTGAGTATAGTACAAGATAATTTTTAAAATATATTTTTATTGATTTCAAAGAGGAAGGAAGAGGGAGAGAGACAGAAACATTAGTGATGAGAGAGAATCATCGATGAGCTACCTCTTGCATGCCCCTCACTGGGGATTGAGCCCTGCAACCCAGGCCTGTGCCCTGACCAGGAATTGAACAATGACCTCCTGATTCATAAGTCAACGCTCAACCACTGAGCCACACTGTCTGGCTAGTACAAGATATTTTGAGAGAGGGGGGCCATATTCATATAACTTTTATTTTAATATATTGTCATTTATTTTATTTTATTATTCATTACTAGAGGTCTGGTACATGAAATTTATGCATGGGTAGGGTCCTTAGGCCTGGCCAGCGATTAGTGCCAATCTGTGGGGCAACCATCAGGGCAATCAGGGGGCCCCTTCTGGCACCCGCCTTGGCCAGCCTGGCGCCACCTGCTTGCCAGCTCTGCCCCCCACCCCCACCGCCGGACGCCTCCCTCTGTGGGGTGACTGGCAGGGCAATCAAGGGGGCCCCACTGGCACCCGCCTTGGCTGGCCTGGGGCCTGCAGGCTTGGGGCACTCCTGCATTGAGCATCTGCCCCCTGATGGTTAGTGTGCATCATAGCGACCAGTCGTTCCAAAGTTCGGTCGATTTGCATATTAGGCTTTTATTATATAGGGTTATTAATATCTTACTGTGACTAATTTATAAATTAAGATTTATTATAGATATGTACATATAAGAGAAGATATTATAGATATGCACATATAAGATATATATATATATATATATCTTACAGTCTATGGTTCCAGGAACCCACTGGGGTTCTTGGAACATATCTTCCAAGGGTAAGGGAAGGAATTCTGAATGTGATGTACAATACATGTTTATGGTTAAAAATAGTAAAAATTAGTAATACTGCAATGAGTAATTATTTATAGCAATATAAATCATACTAAGATACAAAGCATGTAAACTTTTTAAAAATGAATAAATCAAATATAACTCAATTAGGCAACTCCCAGTATTAATTTTCATGTGCCCATATTTTAGAAAGATGAGATAAAAAATACTTCGACAGTACTTTAACATGTAGATATGCATGTCTCACTAACTCTATACACCTGTTTAATCATCTAATCTAGGGACTGAAACCGATGGCATATAGGCCAAATGTTGCCTTTCCACCGCTTTATAAGTAAAGTGTAACTGGAACAGAGTCACCGATTTCTTTACTCATAACCTATGGCTCTTTCACAGCAGAAATGAATAGCTGCAACTAAGACCTTAAGGCCCAAAGAGCCCCAAATATTTACTACCTAGCTCTTTACAGAAAAGAGTTGGCAGATCCTTACCTAATCAATTTATCTATTTAGCTACCAAGCAAGTACATTTTATTATAATCCTTTCAGAGATGATAGTACACATATTATAAGATACCTAGGTAACATTCACCTATCAATGCCATTCTATATCTTGACTATGTGATAGTGTGTCTTCCAAATATTTATATAAACTTTTAATTGAATTATAACATGTATGATGAAGAAGGTAAAGAATAAAGCTCTATGAAGTACCATATTGTGAAGATACTCAAGTGATCACTACATAGGTCAAATGGCAGAATATTACTAATATAAATTCCTAGAAATATTAGCAACACAAATACACATTTGTATGTCCCCTCCATCTTAATTCAACATTGTTTTCAATATTCATTTTTGTCATTGAATTTAATAGTAGTTTGTTCATTTTCAAGATGTATCATTATATTGATATTTCAAAAATTATTTATTCTAGATTTCGCATACATTTGGTACTATTATGAATATTGCTGTTAAAAACATGCTTGTACATGTAGAGTTAATCCTCTTACTTCATTTATCTTTTGGGTTGAGATTATCAAATATCATGTTCTCCCTTTTGTTCTCTTAATTGTGATGAATTATGTTCACTGGTTTTTTAAATATTTGAGTGTATTTATGGAATAAGTATAAAATTTTTTATAATGTATGTCTTGATTACAAAACACAAGGTTCACTTTTCTACATTTTAAGGAATAGAGACTGGTCTTCATATTTCCTGTCTTATACTGGTCTTATAAAATTTTGCTATCAAGATTATGCTGTCCTTATATTCTACAGAGAGTTTACAAAATATTAATTTTATATCTGCCATTTATATATGGTAGAATTCACTAGTATAGCCATTTGGGCTTAAAGTTTTCTTTGAGGAAGTTACTAAATATGTATTCAATGTATTTAATATAATATAGTTATCTATGTATTATCATGTCCATTTTGTTAAACTGTATTTTTTCTTAGAAATTTTTTCATTCAATCTATACTTTCAAAAGTATTGCATACAATATTTCATAATTTCCTGATATTATATTTTTATTGGTATTAGAACTATAGTAATGTTTCTTTCTGGTGGTACTATTTGTATCATTTCTCATTTTATTTGTTTTGTGGATAAATATTGGCAGGGAGTAGTAAATTTCAAAGAACACACTTTTGCCACTGTTAACGGTCTTAATTCTCTATTTGTTTTCTACAACTTTAATGTCAGCTCTTACCATTATGATTTTCTTTTCTTTTTTTTAACTTTCTTTGGGCTTAACTTACTCTTCTATTTATAAGGTTTTCAACTTAAATTATGCTCTCAAGATTGTAAATTTTTCTTTAAGAATTAATTTTGTTATGTTTAACAAGTTCTATTTTCATTATTATCCATTCAAAATATGTTCTAATTTCTTCCCCCCCCCCATTTGCTCTAAGAATTATTCAGAATTGTATTATAAATTTACAAATATATAGGGATTTTCTGTTTTTTATTATTATAAAATTATTAAAACTCAAATCAAGCTTGTTCAAAGAATGTTTTCTATTTGCTTTCAAGTCTTTGAAATGTATTTGCCTAGGCTGCATATCCCAGGATATGGCCAATTTTATTACCGTTTTCATGACCCTAGAAGTCTGTAGTTAAGTGCAATATGGTCAGGTTTTAACATATACACAAACATACACACATTTATACACTTTTGTATTGAATGTAAAATGGGAACAATTGAATAGTTAAATCATGTCTATGATGTCTGTACATTTTTTTCTTTAAAATATATTTACAGATTCTTTGCATCCTCTTCCATCTGCATCATTATATAAACTTAATAGAGCTAAAACCAAGTGTGGCCATGAAGCCAATACTGAGGCTTTTATAGAAAGAGTTCTGAAAAATTTTTGAAAAAAGATAAATGATGTTCTCTATATTAAGAACATGGGAGAAAAATGTGTTGCACATTTTTAGAACCCATTTCTTACTCTTAAATTCTATATTTAAAGCAAACTAGAAACTTTCTGGGTTAATTACTTATTACAACTAAACTGTTAAAAATATCTTATGGAAGCTATAACTTCTAGAATGCTATTCATTTACTGACAAAAATAAAAAGCAGAGCATCATGGCAGAGTGAGAAGACTCGTTTGTAACACTCCTTAAACCTACAACTAGTCGGATATCTATAACCCAACAAAGGTTCCTCTGTTCAACATACTCCCATGCCTGAGAGGGAAACAAAAGCACAAATAAGAAATGTGACTGCACCAAACTAAAAACCTTCCACACAGCAAAGGGGTTAATATCCAAACTATATAAAGAACTCATACAATTCAACAACAAAAATAATCTGATTAAAAAATGGGCATATCTGAATGGACATTTTCCCACTGAAGGCCTACAGATGGCCAAAAGACACATGGAAATACATTCTATGTCACTAACTATTAGGGAATTAAAACAATAATGAGATATCAGCACACACCTATTAGAATGTTTATTATCCAAAAGACAAGAAATGACAAGTGTCAGGGAGGTGGTGGAGAGTGTCAGTGAGATTATAAATTGATGCAGCCACTATGCAAAACAACATGAAGGTTCCTTAAAAATTTAAGAATATATCTACATATGTTCCACCAAATCCTACTTCTGGGTATTTTTCCAAAGAATATGAAAACACTTTGAAAATATAGTATGTGCCCCTATGTTCATTTCATCATTATTTACTACAGCCGAGATATAGAAATAACCAAACAATGGATGAACGGCTAAAGAAGATATGGTCTATTATCTGTTTGTCTGTCAGTCTGTCTATTTATATAGACAGATAAATAGATACATATACATAATTTCCTTATATGATTACATAATAATTTAAGAAAA